AAGTTTTTATTAAAAAAATTAAACTTTTTAATAAAAACACAGGCAAATTTGCCTGTGTTACAATTTAAGGAATACCTTTCATGCCCACCATAGAGAATAAGTGTTAAAGTACGAAGATCAGCTCGAGAAAAAAATATTATATTACGTCCACCATTACCATCACGGCCTGCATGGCCTATTTCTTGAATAAAGCTATCAAGGGACATTGAAATGTAGTATGTATTATAGCCCTTACATCTGATATATTAATTCCCATTCCAAAAGCATTTGTTGCAGACATAAATCTAATTTCGCCATCTTTCCATAATTTTAAAGTTATATCACGATCTGCACTTTTCATACTACCATGATATATTCCTATATTCTGAGACCCATAATGTTTAATAAGCGATTGACCAACTGTAATACAATCAGAAATAGATGCTGAATAAATAATTATTCGACCATTTGTTATAGAGTTAATAACTGAAATGATAGCTTGTATTAGTTTTTCTTTTCCGCGTGGTTTTGAAATTATTTCAAGTTTAAGATCAGGCCTATAAATTTTGTTACTTCGGATAATTTGTAATTTAGAAGGTGTTATAATTGCACGTAATTTTTCTGCAGTATCCAAGGTGCATGTTGCAGTTAAAAAAAGTATCAGAACAGATAGAAATTCACTTTTTACTACATTTAATTTAGTCCAGGAATTTCTAACAATTTAACGGCTATTGTAAGTAGTTAACTTTTTAATAGCTTATTACAGTATACATATATATTTACCTAAAATATTCATATTCTTTGATACAGTGTGCTTCGTCAATGACGAATTGTAATCCTCTCAAAGAATTGATTTTTTTTAACATGCTTCTAAATTTCATATTCAATATATATTTTTCAGGTGTAATTAATAATACTTTTGTTAATCCTGAAGCTAATTCTCCAAAAATTCTTTCTTGTAATTCAGGAGGTTGTTCAGACGAAGCATAAAAGGCTGCAGCAGGAATACCCATATATATTAATTCATGCTATATATGTTATTTGAGTATTTAATATTAAGGTTTGTATTTATATATAAAGCATTGTCAATTATAATATATTATAGTGTAATGGTTATAATTAGAATTTTTT